ATTATTAGTCACCGAAACCCGGAAACGTGACAATATTAAAGGATAACTTATTGAATGTACACGCTTTCAAAAAAGGAGATTTGTTTTCAGCGAAGGTCGAGATTACAATGCCGACTGAAGCATAAGTTCAGTTCTATCTTCTGAAATATAACGCTGCTCTTTACTTTTCTTCGTGCTTGTTTCTTATTTGACTTATTCTTCTACGCTGAAAATAGGGGTGAAATATTTCTCTGAAATATTTATCTACTTTCAACTGTTTACTAGGCTTATATCCCAGAAGATGAAAGCCTTCATAAACACAGCTGTGAGTATCTGAGGTCTTTCGAAGCATCAGTGCCTTTCTTTGCCATCTGGCGGTCATATCCGAAACTTCTAACAACTCTGATTGCTATGTAGGAACAGAACAACGACAGAATTGAGAGCATTGCGGGAAAAGTGTGCCGTAGCAGTAAGGACTGCTGCTTCATGGAATCCTCACTATGGTTTCACATGATCTATCCCAGAGCCTCCACGACAACGCTGGGAAAGTATTTTGAAGATGGCTAAGACGCCTTAGAACATTTTATGGGTAAAATATACATCTCCTGAATGCCACTGCACGTAGTATTTATAATAACATTTTGTTTTGAAAAATAAAAGTTTTATTAAATATTTTTATATATCAACTCCCCCATACGCCTTCATGGCGCAGTGTTTAGTTAATTAACCACAAGGGAAACTTTAGCTTATCTCACCAATTATTTCAAACTTAATCGAAAACTTCGATCGCCGGTAATTTAGGAGATGACACTGGCAGTCAGATTATCACATACTTCCCTTATCACGTTAATTTTACGAAATTTTTGCATAGAATGTACAAAATACGCTCACTGTGAGATTGGGCAGTCAGTGGTATGCTATGCACTCATCATTCCACCAGGCATTGTTCGGCTTTCAATGGAACACTTGACGGCTAGCGGAGGCTGCTAAAATCTCTCCAGGTTTCAATCTCAAGAGGCTGTGCTGTACCAAGACATTACACACAGGCGTCAGAAGAACTCTGTTCTCCCCTCACAGCCCCCTCGATGAACACCAAGCGTTCGCTGTATGGTACCGCACAATTCTGTCCAGAAAAGCTTCGTCTGCATTTTGCCACTCATACGTTTGCACACTACCGCATGATATTCTTTACCTCTCTAGGATAACGCTTTGATGGGGCAAGAAGCAAAATATGAATATATCTTTCAAATGCATGCTTTATATTTTCGAAACCCTCCTTATCCTCGTTGTTCATTTATTGCAAACACAAGTCAATTGTTCCAAAGTTTCGGTGACGCATGAACTATGGCCTTGATAGACTTGAAAGGATTCTGACGATGGTGTATACTGTACTTCTTTTGGCTTATTTTGGACTTCACCCATCGTCCGGTATATAAAAAAGATAAAAAACCACAACGTTTCGGAGACTTGATCTGTCTCCGTCTTCAGGTGTATAGGGAAGGTTTAACCTACTCAGTTGGGCCCCTTAGAAAGAGCTATTCTCCACTGGGTCCAGTGATTGAGAATAGCTCTTTCTAAGGGGCCCAACTGAGTAGGTTAAACCTTCCCTAGACACCTGAAGACGGAGACAGATCCAGTCTCCGAAACGTTGTGGTTTTTTGTCTTTTTTATATACCGGACGATGGGTGAAGTCCAAAATAAGCCAAAAGAAGTATGGCCTTGATGTATGCAGTATCTTTGCCGTCGGGACAAAGGTTGGGGGGGGGGAGCTCAGTGTCTCGAGAATGGCTCCATTTATTCTTGTGCCTATCATAATCTCTCATGTCAGAGCTCTTGTTCCACCGAAGCACTTGTAATTACTTTATGGATACCACACTACGGAGTAATTCTTCTTCTTATTTACATTAATATAAAGAATAGAGATCTGTGTGGAACATAACTTGAACATGTTGATGACAACTGTGTTTTACGATATATAGGCCTGGGATCTACCAGTTTTTGTGAGATTCTATATGAGCTATTGAGCCATAAATACATACGTTGGAAAGTAATTAACACATAAGCAAATTATGATAGAATAAAAATTAAATAAATAAATACCGTAAATAAATTATGACACCTTTGCTCTGTTTTTCAGAAAATTTATAAACTTTTTAATTGCAGTTTTCATTAAAGTAGACGTTACGTTTTACAGAAACAATCAACATTCAGTTTAATAAAAACAGTTAGTATGACCCCCGAAACAACAAACGAAATATTTTCGTCCTAGAAGATGAAAGCATTAAATGCCTTCTCAATATATTTCTACCAAAGTCTATAGCATCACATAGCATTTATAATATTGTCACATGACTGTCCGCCGCCAGAACTTTAGGTCTCACAATTCGAAATTTCATTAAAATTGCTCAGTAATTTCCAGAATTGAACATGGGGGCAGATAGGCAAATGGAAGATGTGACTTTCTCATCATACATCCATATTATTCTGTTCTTAAAGAAATTATATAATTAAATCTCTGAAACAGAAAAGGGGTCCTCTGGATTGAGAATGGAACCAAAACACCCAAAAACAAATGATTTTCTACAGGATATATGATTTCTGAATGTATAACATGTATCAATTGCTGGTTCCACCGTCTCACCGGCAAAATTCGATACTAAGTGATGTGCAGCTGGATGCTACAATATAATATTGTGATAACGTATATATATGTTAGTGATTAATTTTCAAAACGCCGAAGATCGCGATTTATGTCCCAAGTGCGCAGCTAGTCACATAAATAATCACTCGTTAATTACCTGACTCATTCAGGCCCTCCCTCATATATCCTCTTGCCCAACCACTAGTGCATTCACTTAAACATAAGTTCAATCACTGTATCACTTAATAATTCTGCTACTCAATCACTAAGAATTTACACAATCACTTTGCACTTTCACATATTCACTCAGTGTAGCTGGACCACTTGCTCAATTACACCATTTACACATTATTTTCCTCTTGGCACTACAGCCCCAGTGGGCCTAGGCCTATCTTCATGAACTTCTCCGTTCACTTCGGTTCTTCTAGATCTTACACATTCGGTAGGGCCCCTTGGGCGGGTGATCAGCTCGTCGCAAGGCCTCTACCTGTACACAAACACAGAAAAACCCACACAAACTTCCATGCCCTGAGTACTATTCGAACCCACGATCCCGGTTTCCAAGAGAACGAAGGCAGTACATGCCTTAGACCGCTCAGCTACCGTGACCGGCCATTTACACATCTACCTATTTAATTAATCAGTAGAACATGCACTTAGTTATTCATTCAGTCGCTACGTCACTACTCATAACATATCCCACAGTAACTGCATTACTTACACCTACCCACGTAATTACTATCTCACTCATTCAAGCATTCATTCAATCTTTGTCTCAAACAGTACATGAATTCCTCATGCAAAACCTCATTCTGTCACGAACTCACACGCTTATTGCTCACTCTGTTACAGAGTAGCCTGTATAGATGCTCAGGCATCATTCAGTGACTGGCTCACCCACTGAACCCTTTCCTTTCCCAGTATCCTGTCAACTTACTCACACTTCACTCAATAATCGGCGCACATATTTCTCACCTCAACCAAACACTAGCTCTCAAGTCGCTGTCTCGAGCCCTCATAAACTCGTCACTTCAGTCGTACATGAATTAACTCAGCATACACTTAACCGCAGATACACTTCAATGGCTTTATTCATCCGACGTGTTTAATTCCCAAAAAAATAATGCCACAAAATAGCCCCCAACTGGAACCTCTCCGGGCCGCTTAAGTCCAGTCCATACACCATACTTGCGTGATTAAAATATCATTCTTCACAATATGCCTACGTTTCCAAAACGTATATTTTCCCTTTAATCATTCTGACCAAAACTAGAAGACCTCAGCATTTTCATTCCCTCAAGTTGCACATCCCATCCATCTTGCCCTCTTTAATTGAACCATCCGCACAGTAATGTGGAGAAAGTCACAAATTCTGGAGTTCCTCAGTATGTGGTGTTCTTCATCTCTTTCTTACGTCACCTCAGTCATGTCCTAACAGCCCGTACACAAACTCCCTCCACCTTCAAATGGGAGACAAACTCACGCTTATACAAGGGGCTGAGGAGAATATTCGGACCGAAGAGAGATGAAGTGACTGGAGGTTGGAGAAAACTGCATAATGAGGAGCTTCATAACTTGTACTCTTCTCCAAGTATAATTAGAGTGATCAAATCAAGGAGGATAAGGTGGGCAGGGCATGTAGCACGAATTTGGAGACGAGGGATTCATATAAGATACTTGTGAGAAAGCCAGAAGGAAAGAGACCACTAGGAAGACTAAAACATGTGTGTGAAAATAATATTTAAATTGATCTTGGAGGGATAGGATGGGGTGCTATGGACTGGATTGATCTGGCTCAGAATAGGGGTCAGTGGAAGTCTCTTGTGAACACAGCAATACGCTAATAATCCTTCGTGTTCCATGATATGTTGGGAAGTTCTTGAGTAGGTGCACAACTGTCGGCTTCTGAAGGTCTCAGCTCTATGAACGCAGTTAGTAATACCGCCTTGTTCCCAGGCAACTTATCCGACACACTGGTTGACCAGGTCAACATAACGTCTCTCTGCAGGCGTTACTGCGAAGAACAAAGATCAGTATTATGTTGCATATATAAAAGCATGGATATGTTAGTCATATATACTTTTCTTGCAGAATGCGGACAACACGTATACAGGAATTGTTTTAGTTGTATATTTTATGGTTAACACTATCCATAAAAGCTCAGAAGGTTTTAGGCTGTTTCATATTTATTGTCACTTGTTAGGTGACTATAGACTGGTTTCGGATTGCTAATCGTATTCGTTGGGCTGCACAAGTGGCGGCTTCTCCAGAAGGTCTCAGCTCCATGAGTGAGTGAGAGGAGTGAATCGGATTTATTGCGCATTTATGCAGCTCGTGGCTACATTTCGCAGGTCACCCTCACGTATACCTGTGTTTTCAGTGACGTGGGTGGTAGCGGCTTCCAGCGGCGACGTTCGTCTGCTTCCCGGCTCACGTCCTCGCAGTGTGGCGACCATCTCACGGCAACTAATGCTCTGACCGCTGGCTGCAGCTGGTAATCGCTTCAGCAGCTAGCTCCCGGGTTGGACTGACTTCCAACTGTCAACCTTCAACTTCAGCTGTCACTTTTGGCTGCATTCCGAGCTCAGTTAACTCCTTTCCAACTGCCGATCTAACTTGCAGTGAAGGTAAGAATCAGAGTTGCTTTACGACTGGCAGCTTATCGTCAATTATTTCGCCTTGTCGCCAAGCTCCTTGAGGATCACGACCCGAGATCATAGTCACATTGCGACTGACGGTCAGTCAGTCAGTCAGTCAGTCAGTCAGTCAGTCAGTCACTTTTAGTATCGAACCCAACCTGGAGCTTATGACCAGATATTTATTACTATTTGACAGTTTCAGTCTTATTTTTGAGGGGGCGCCCTCTCTAGCGAGAGGACTTGTCTGCTTTTGTCAGAGTCACTGTCTGTAGTAGTAAGTAATTTGTCATAATGTAAAGGATATTTACATTTTACATGTTAAATATGATGATAAATGTATTAAATATATACAGGGCCTCTGTCAGTCCAGGCTCAGTACGGCAGATTATGCCCTATTTCTAGTAGCTTCCGTTGCAACGGTAGTCTAGTCACTTGAACGGTCGTATGCTTGACCGCCGCCAAGTTTAAGCCTCTTATACTTTCTATGTCGTGCTTCGCCTTGTCCAATATTGCGAAAATTTTCGTTATCATGGTTTTCTATGACTTCCGCTTGTTTTCTGCATAATTTTTATATAATCACATGCGTAGGGAATTTTGGTAGCCAAGTGTAAATTGCGAATCGGCGTGCCTTAGAAAATTGTCAGTGCTGGTGAGAACCTTGTTTTGTAGGCTCTGCAATTCCATTAGATAGGTACATGCTCCGAATTCCCAGGCGGGACTAGCATAAGTCATTACAGATCTCATGAGAGCTTTTTGGAGCGTCAGCTTAATGTTAGCGCTTAATCGCTTACTTTTCAGTAGGGAATACAATGTAATAAATATTCTGAAGACCTTGGCTTCGATCATTTCTATGTGCAATCTACATGTAACCCTCCTATCGAAGATTACACCAAGATATTTTACGCACCCATATTAACGTAGTAAACAAAAAATAGACATGGAGTAAGGCTATAGATGTCGTTGCAGGCCCTGGCGTCATTTTCAGATTCGTAATCCTATACACATTTAGTAGGACTCCTTGGATGGGGGCTCAGCCCGTCGCAAGGTCGCTACCTACACACACAATAAAAACACACAGACATCCATGCCTCTGGTGGGACTCGAGCACATGACCTCAGTGTTCGGGCGGGTGATCACTTTCATGCCTTACACCGCGCTGCCAGTATGATCGGCATAGATTAAAGCAGGTCATTATTAAATTATCAAAGGAGTGATGACAGTTTTAAAAAGCATAAAATGAAGACAGCAGAAGACAGAATGTAAGAAATAAAAAATCAGGTAGAATTTAATGATAAATGCATTGCAAGAGAAAATAATAAATAAGAGAATGAGATTGTATGGGTACGTTTTTAGAACGAACGAAGAGAGAATCTCATGGGAGGTTTTAAACGTGAGGAAAGGAACACCCAAGAGGAAGACCACGACGAAGATTGGAACAAGTTAGGATCGCCACGTAGCAGGAAGATAATGGGACGAAAATGAGAAACAGGGACTTCGAAACTGCAGACAGAATTGGGGAGAGGCTTGGTTGCTAGGCGACCCACATGAAAGTGGGAAATTCGATTAAGGAAGAAGAAGAAATATCAACTCAGTCATAATAAAAAACAAAAACAAATTCCGTGGCCTGTAGTCAGCAAGTGTACTATAACGACCGAGCGACAGTCGCATGTCAGCGAAGTTAGTGCCAAATTTAGCGGATAGAGGGTGTCGCGTCGTAAGGGCAACGGATCCCCACGGTCGTTAATCTCGGTTTTCTAGAATAGAGCCACTATTTCCTTCAAATAGCTCCTCAATTATCCTCACGAGGCTGAGTGGACCCCATTCCAGACCCACTACTTCTCAAAAAATCTGATAGCGCTGGGATTCGCACCCAGGACATCTGTATCTGTAGCCAGACCACAGAGGCGGTCCCTCAGTCATCATACTAAATGAAAATCTACGAGACGACATGTGCGTAAGTTGCTAAAGATATTTTAGAGACATTCTTTCTAGATGTTCCACTTCAAAATAGCCCGCTACAAGGAGATACACCTGTGGCAGTAGTTAAGTTATAACCACGATGTACCGGGCAAACTGCCCAAATATTTTGAGGACCGCCAATATGCTTAGCTATTCTCAATCACGTGCTTAACTGACCCATCCACCAACTACATGTGATTTCAATTGTGCCCTTGAAAGTAATGACCAAATTGCACCTCTGCTTTTCTCAGTTATTTGGGAAATGGAAACATGAAATGAGCTACAAAGGTAAAGCTGTCCCTGTAACAGGCCGTGAAGGCCCATGTGTGTAAAGGGTTGAGGCGAAGAAGAGAGGAACAGAAAAAAGTACTAATTTCCAGTAGGCCATATGAACAAATGAACTTGAATGTGAAGAGAATTAAGATATCACAAATGGCAAGGTAACTAAAACCAAAAGGAAAAGGAACAAATTGAATGGTCCAAGTGAGGATATACGTAAAGAAAAAGGAAAAAGACTTGAACAAAAGTGACGGACTTCACACTGTTGGTCATGGCTGGTAATATTTTTCTCATTCTCCACTCTTACAAGCGATCATATTCCTCCTGTTTCCTCTTTTAAATGTCCTTAGTTCAATCTAACACGGCACAACCACAATTTCTACAGCGCTTTTTATATGAAAGATGTTTAAACGAGCTGATTTGGCAGAAAGTGTATTTACACGGCACGGCAGACAGAAGTTAGTGTCTGCCGCATCTCCACATCGTTTCCTATTATGAGACATTTTCAGAAAATATAATAAATTAAATTTAAACTTCATGAAATAAAATATAAAATTTAGAAACATAGTCGAGTGACAATATGTAATATGTCCCACACATGACAAATTTGAAAAAATTCCGGAAAGATAATTGGGCCAAATTTATGCACTTCATGCAGAACTTATGGTGAGATGCTTTATGAAACATTGTAGAGCCCATGTACCTCATTCTGTGAAGTTACTGGCTACGGGGTTCAATTCCCAGCGCGGGTATTTATCTTCGCTAGCTAATCGAGAATAACTCTGAGGCCCATCTTATGTCCAGCACGAAATGAGGACTCTTTATCACGGGGGCTAAACGGCCGGAGAGCGAAACTGACCACTGTCCCCAATCTAGTGTCGAGATCCATAATGCACGAAGATTTATCTCTAGAACCCATACATGTCTCTCCCTAAAGTAATATGGTGCTTAATCAGATATGCAAATTTACATATATATATATATATATATATTCATACACATCAGATATATCCATCAGTTTATTAATGCTGTAAACAGATTGGACACTCGGACCTTGAGCCTGTCCACTTACTTTCATGTTGCAACGTGTATAGCTGGACAACGGCACGATAAACATCTTCCCACTTAAGTGCGTGGCAAGAGTAAGTGATCATTGCTAGGCAACGACTCAGTATACACGTTCCAGCAACCACGCATCAGTAGGAGCTGTGTTCTCTGTGACTAGTTGCTAGGTTACGCAGTTATTCTGACAATTGTAGAGGTATTTTCTATGTCGTCTGTGCCTCGTCTATATAACGGGAGTGTGTTTGCAAGCTGAGATTAAACCCGTCTGAAGGCGAGGTCGAATACCTCCACCGTGACCCTGCGAGTCGTAGGAGGCGATGAAAATAGAAGTCTTAAATCTGAGACAGTAAAATATGGTCGGGAGTCCCAAGAGACTCGGACCCAAGAAGGACTGCGCTGTAAAGGAGCAGCAGCATGTACAAAAGACAGATCCGTCCTCTCGTCAGAGAAGGCACCCCACAAAAACACGACTGTAACTGCCAAACAGTAATAAACATCTAGTCATGAGCTCAAGATGGGGCTCGACACCAAGACTTACTGACTGACTGTCAGTCGCAGTATGGCTTTCATTTTGATTTTGAGCTGGGATTAGGTTATCTAAGTACAGATTTGCGCAAAGTTAAGACTAGAGAGATTGTAGACAGGCTGGCAGTAGAACAGGAGAATTTGGTAGAGTTCTGGAGAATCGGCAATCCAAAGTAATTAAAAAAGAAAGAGCAAGAAGACTTTATGGTGATTTGAAGTGACAGTTTCTGTGTTGAGATCCGTTGCCAGGAGACCACTAGTGGAAACTGAGAATCCTAACGCGTGTGCAACTGTGAATTAGCAGGTGTGTAAATGACCAATAGTGTCATATTAATTGTAATTAACAGAGATTGTAATCGAAGTTCCAACAAATCGAATCATCAGATCTAGAACCCGTTATTCGTCACGTGTGCTCCCACACACGTGACAATATCAAGGTTTATAACCAANAACCCGTTATTCGTCACGTGTGCTCCCACACACGTGACAATATCAATATTTATAACCAATATGTATTTTCCTCCATGCCCCCTACATCTACGTAATCTTCTGTTTAGACACAGAGACAGTTCACTTATGATACGTAATACTGGACTAACTACAAAGGCGACAGATCTCTGAACACGACATATCGACTTGTTCAATTGAAACTCTATACGAACTGCGTATTCGATGAAATCCTTCCAGTTATATGGGGTTCAGAGCCCGCCAACGTTCATGTTACATAACGATATGAGAGGACATTATTATTCTAAAGCCCCCGGTCTGGCAGTGTGCTTTAGATCCCACAGGGGTGGCCTTGAACTCGATAAAATTTATATGACGGCACTGGTCTATATAACTTACATACTCGAGCTACTAGATTTTGCATTGTTATATATAGGAATGAAAAATGCTTGTGTGTTGGTGGTGGCTGGATATGAAAAAAATGTACATAAAACAGCGAGCAGAGATGCGCGATTGTGTAGGAAATTTACGAGGTTCCAAAAAGCGGTTGTGGGTTTTTTATTTGTATGTATGCACACTTTACTCATTATCATTTGGGGCCTTGAAAACATTAGCGTCGCAAGTTAGGAGCTGCTTTTTAATATATTTTAAAATCTGATGGCTTTCCTCTACGTTAAATACGATGACCATGTGGCTCAGTCTCTCGTTACGTT